GGACGACACAGAATCCAAAACAGGCTCCAGGCTCTGAGCTGTCAGCACAGAGCCCGACGCAGGGCTCGAACTCAAGGACCATGAGATCATGACCTGAGCCGAAGTCAGACGCTTAACTGAGCCACCCAGGCGCCCCACCACAAACCTAAATTTTAATGATCAGATTTTAGGGCTGGAATGATTAAATACGATTTCTCACCCAGCGTCTTTTTTCTTTTTTGACAATCTCTTCAAATTCGTGAAAGCCATTACAATGTTGCTCAAATTGGCGACCCAACACAACCTAGAAACATATTTCTAACAATTCAAAATTTGTCATAGTTGAAATGACTTGTTAAGCCTGACATTCTTTTGACAAATATTGAAGTTTTATCTAATAACGTGAAGGTATTTTAAATCTCAACCGTTCACACCAAGTATGTAAAAATCCTGATGAAGCTGTAATTTTCAGGACACACAAATGGGAATGTGTGAAAGCACTTTGTGAACAGGAAAATGTTGGACCACAACATGTTGCATGTGGCTCATGTAGGTTGGCTGTTCCTAAAATGGGACATCAATTGCACATGGACAGAAGTTTCTGGTACAGGGGAGGGCTGAAATTGAGGGTAGTCCACCAGAGTTGTCCTGCCAGGAGCCCCTATTACACTTCCCTGACTCCTAGGCCCTAATGACCACACTGTGCAATCTCTTTCTTGAATACCTGGTATAAAAACCTCTCCTGCAGGCCCCAGACCACTGTCCTTATGCACCATGGCAGACCCCGCAGCTGGGCTCCAGTGCGTACCTCCGTGGCCAGCCTCACCATGTTGCCAGCAGGTGCCAGATGCTTACCACCCAATGGGACCTCAGAGTATGTCACTGGACACCACTCCTCTCAGACCACTCCACGAGGTGTTCTGGAAGGCCCCATGTGCCTAGCCAGAGGCCATCAGCCAGAAAGGCCTTGCTATACCAAGGAATGACCATTTTATGTGGCTTAACTGTAACCCACTGGCCTTATGCAACACAGCACGCTAGTTGGGAAGCTTGGGTCTAAACAAGCATGATGATCCTGTTTCCCACTATTGCAGCCTCTTTTAAAGCGGAGAGTGGCCCGGTGACCTAATACTGGCCAGGAAAACACAACTGGGTTGGCCAGGGGTAGGGGTAGTTCTGGGATAGTTTTTGTTCTCCAGATTAAAACACAGCAGGGAACGTGCCTGGTATTGATCCTTCTGCCTCCTTTCTTCCTTGACTGGGGATGTGCTCTAGAGGTTCAGTAGTCATCTTGTGATCAGGAGGGGAGAACCATGAATGGGAGGCCAAGAGGGCTATAAGCTGCTGGTGCTGACATCATGTCATTTCCAGATCAGTGCCAAGCACCCTACCTCTAGATTTCCTATTACGTCAGAAAGATAAACCCCTGTTTGTTACGGCCCCTGGAAGTCAAGTTGTCCATTATTTTCAGTCAAAAGTGCGACTTACACATTTTATTATGTACCTCAGGACATGTACAGAATGAAAGGTATTAGAGTTCTTTATCCATTCATCAGAGTATTTAAAACAGTTCCAATTCAGGGAGCCTGGGTGGTTCCGTTGGTGAAGCATCTGACTTGGGCTCGGGTCATGATCTCCTGTTTTGTGAGTTCAAGCCCCGCATGAGGCTCTCTTCTGTCAGCACAGAGCCTGCTTCAGATCCCCGGCCTCCCTCTCTCTCTGCCCCTCCCTTGCTCTCTCTCTCTCAAAAATAAATAAAAACATGAAACAAATAAAAGTAAATAAAACAGTTCCATTTCTAGGCAAGTATAATGCTAACTTGGTGAACATTCCTTAAGAAGAAACGTAGCATGACTATCCTTCAGTACATGTAGCCTGTCGGTCTAGGTCTAGGGAACCACCTCTAATGCATGTTCATGTGTGTGGAATGAGAATGGGCTACATCTGTTTGCAGTGACATTCCATCTCCTTTCCTCTATCAGTATGGCAGACACTCAAAAAGCTGGAGAAGCTCTTCTGGTGGTTTCTCATGGTAGTTCTAGGAATAGAGCATCAATTAGACCTTTGTGGCTTCTAAGAAACCCTCCTAAATTAGCTCAAGCAAAAGGAGAGATTTATCAGATGGACCTTGGGCTATCTTATGATAAAAATATGCCATGAGGAGGGTCGTGGTTGCAGTGAGCCATTAAGAACTATTTCAATAGGAAATGACCATTTCCAGAGCTCTCTCTCTGCTTCTGCTGTTTTCCGCTTTATTTCTCTTTCTTGCTATAGACTGAGTTCCCTTACCTGGCAGAAACCTGGATCCTGGTAGGTCCTAAGTTTTATATCTTTTTGATTCCAAGCTATGAGAGAGAGAGACAGAGAGAGAGGCTGACTCTCTAGGCCCCCATCCCAGTATCTAGCTGTTGGGGCTCCTATTCCATTGTGAGTTAGAGGCAGAGTATTAGACTAAGAAGCTATGGCCAGAGGCTTGGACCGTGGAGTCTCCTGGAGGAGCCAGATGATGGAGTGGGGGGGGAAGAGAAATTTCCAGAAAAAGGTATGTTAGTGGCTAAGTTCTGTAGCTAGTCACCACGGAAATAATTCCCACTTCACTCCATGTGTGTTTATACTGACAAAGGAGAAAAGTGAGGAACAGAAATCTGTGTTTGTTGAAAGCCATATAGGAAATCAATGGGCAGTTTGGTATTAAAAGGAAAAACTATTAATTCTTACTCCAGGTTGTTATATTCTTTTAGGGTCTTGTTCTAGTCTTCTTGGTAGCAATTCTTACAGTTTTCGTGGAGGCTTATTGATAAAAGCTGCCCTGTTTCCTTGTCACAAAGCCTTCTTTCGTTCTTACAGTACCTGGAGGGAGCTTTAAGACAAGAATGTTTCTTAACCTCACCCTGGAGACATTACACTGACCTCCTTACAAACAGAAACACACTGGAATCAGGTATGGAGATTATATATATGTGTATATATATATATATATATATATAGCCATGATCTTTCTTGGAAAGTATAACTGTAATCAGTCAGGTTAAGCAAGAGCATGGGAAATCATGGTAAACATGACAAACTAAAATCTGTCTTACTCTTTTTGTTTAATGCTTATTTATTTGTGAAAGAGAGACAGAGTGTGAGTAGGGGAGGGTAGAGAGAGGGAGACACAGAATCTGAAGCAGGTTCCAGGCTCTGACCTGTCAGCATAGAGCCTGATGCGGGGCTCGAACTCACAGACCACAAGATCATGACCTGAGCCAAAGTCTGGCGCTGATCTGACTGAGCCACCCAGGTGCCCCTTTCTCACTCTTTTTGATGGTTAATTTTTATATTTTGGATATTATGGCTTACAAACTGAGCCATAATATCCAGAAAATTTCTTAGCTTTGTAAAATTAGCTTTATCTAATCTTTAATGAATATTCTGTTTCAATTTCAAGCTTTCAATAAACCAATAACTCATCAACCATTCATTCATTCAATCAACATTTGTTGACATCTACTCTATGCCCAACTTTGCATTAATCTCACTGTACTTTTTCCTCTTGGTATGTCTTAAGGGTAAATGACTAGATTTCTATAGATTGTTTTAAAAATAACTACTTCCCTTTGAAATCATCTTCGCACTTCCTTTTTGGAAAGCCAGTTTTGCCCCTAGAAGTAAGAGCTTTCAATACATATAGCCCTGCTTCCCTAGACATAGTTGATTGTACTAGGATTAAATGCCTGACCCCATATGGTCAATCAGATTCTCTCTCCTGGGAAATTGGAATAGAAAGATGGGAGACTGAATTGATGTTGGGTGTTTGAACTAGAAGACCAAAGATCTGCTGGAGGCTGAGGCTGTCATTTTGGAGGAGAAATGATGGGCCCACACAGAAACAATTAAGTGAGTGTACAAACCAGTTTGCAGAGACAGAGAAAGGGAGGGAAAGACAAAAGCAGAATCAGGAATGATATGGCCCAAGAGACAGACAAGCCAGAGAGATTAGTTATTTAGTGACTTTTCGGAGTTGTTGGGATAGTTGCTACAGTACCAGGAGGGACCCCATGAGCTACCTCTTAGGTCCTAACAAGAAATCCACCTTCGCTCAAGCCTCCTTAACAGGGTTTCTCTTTAAGTAGATTTACTCTAAGATTGATCCATATAAGCAAGCCAATTTAAGTAGAGAGTACTCATTTAATAAGACGTAATGTAGTAACAGTAGATCATGGACTTATCCGTGTAAATACAATACAATCAAGCTTAGATACTCAGAACGATTTTCTTGCTGTAAGATTAAGGAGTTAGAAATGTGTGGTGAAAATAAGATCTTCCTTTTTAATTCATTAAAAAAAAACCAAACCAACCCATGGGCAGATCTCTTTCTGAGAAAGAGCAAGTCACTTACAGGGGACCTTTTCTAGCCCATCAGGTCTATGTGGATTTATGGAAGATGGCTGACAATTGCTACAATTCAGCCTCCCACTGGTACAAAGAAACGTGATATAAGCAAAGACACAGTACCTGGCAACATAGTAGATGAAACTCAGTGGTTACTAAAAGATTCATGACTTAATTTTCAGGTTTAAATATGACCATTTCCAATATGATTATTATGTTTTTCAGGTCTACTATCTAGAAGACTATTTTTCAGATGCAATAATTTATCCATCCTTTCAGCCATTTTGAAAAGCCATCTCTCGTTGCCAAACGAAGTGCTTCTAAAGTGTGTGAGTCTAAACCCAGATTCTGTATGTTTAAAATCAGTACTTTTTTTCTCTTTTGTGGCCTAATTTTCATGCTTGTTTTGATAAAATCCACATTACTGCCATGAGAACAGATCTCACCAAATGTCTTGTTTTCAATTGCTTTAAAAGGGGGGGGGGGGGCTCATCGTGCTCCAGAGTCTTATGATCTCATAGTGAAGATACTTAGGTTCCAAACCACAAGGCAGGTTGTTTTGATAAAACCTTGTTTTTGTTGGATAAGAAAATACGTAACGCAAAATTAAAACGCGACCCAGCAACCAACCAATAACCAACCACAAGAGCAAGTATAAGAAAAGAGGATGTTATGAAGCTCCAGGGACAGAGGCATGAAACATAGAATGGAGATTAGAGCTGTCCATCTTCAAAGTATAAATGTGGGATCTTCACATTTTTTTTTTAACCAATAGTAATGGCTTTGAAATTGCAGACACGGGTGGGATGGGCATTAGAAAGACTCTCTTGGGAACTATGAGTGTAGTGAGTGGTCTAAATGTAAATGTAACAGATGGGATTGCCATTAGAACAGCAATCATCCTCCCCACCCAAATTGTTTTTCTGTCCCAGTTTCCAATATCCTGGCAGGCTACGTGGAAGACGACACATCCGGGTTCTTGGTTTTAAACTAGGACTGCTGTGGTCACAGGACCAAGTGGTTGGGTTGAAGTGCTCTGAGATCAAGAAAGAAGACAGAAAGGAAACAAGAGTATCCACTCGACAGGTGTTTATTGTGTGCCCATCGTGTAGGACTGCTCTAGATCTTGGGTCACAAGGGTGAACGAAACAAAATGCCCTTGTGCTTGCGGGGTTTACATTCTACTTAGAGGAGACAGACAATAAAAAACAACTACATAAAATTGACCAAAGTCTGTTAGATACTGGTAAATGCTACAGAAAATACAGTCTGCGCAAGGCAGGAGAGAATGAAGAGTGAGGGTGACATAATTCTATAGAGGATGGTCAGGAAAGGCTTACGTAGTAGGGAGGCAGATGAGGAGGTGATGCTGCTATTTGGGAGAAAACATTCTGCGTAGAGGGAATGAACAGCGTGTGAAAAGACTCTCAGGTGGATGGCTCAAGCGATATTTGAGGAACTTCAAAAATATCAGTGGAACTGGAGAGGTGTGAGGGGGAAGAAAAATGGTAGGACATGGGCCGGGGAATTAATGGAGGGGCAGGTCATGGAGGGCCTTTACAGAACTTAGTAGTAAGGAATTTGGCTTTTGCTTTGAATGAGGGGAGAAGTCCTTAAAGACTTTTGAGCAGTGGAGGGACATGGTCTGACTTCCATTTTCAAAGTTTCACTCTGGCTGCCAGTCAGGAGAATATTGCAGGGATCCGGGTGAGAGGTGCTGGTAATTTGGACAGAGCTGTAATGGCAAATCCAACATGATGGTTGGATTCTGGCCATGCCGATGGATCAGACATTGAATATAAGAGAAAGAGGAGAGTGACTAAAAAATTAACGAAAGAAGTACAGGGAAAGAAAGTAGAAGGGAAGGAAGGGGGGCAGGGTTGATATCTGGAAGACATCGAAAGGGGCTAAGACTTTAGCCTTAGGACTTCTCTGGAAGCCAAGCAAAAAACTCCAGGAGTTGACTGCCTGAGTGGCCAGTATGTGCTTCTTGGTTCCTAGAAATCCTGAATGTGAATTTATCCTGGCCATATTTCTTGATTATTAAAATCTGTTGACCCCCACGAGAAGTTGAGTCGTGTGCCCAACCCACTGTGAGTGTGTTAGACTGGTGGCCTCAGGTGGGAAGTTGGATGGAAGAGGCGTGAGAGGGTAGTGGTGGTCTGCGAAGGAGAAAAGCTCACCTCCTTTTGTCCCTAGATAATCACGACCCCGAAAGAGTAAGCTTTGGTTTACAAGGCATGAATGAGACCACGTGCAGAATAGATACCGTTATCCCCAAGCCCGAATTTCATCATACGAAAGTTACATTGTTATTTGCATTTGAGTGCTTTATTATATTGGAATTGCAGTGATATTATTAACATTTGTACAAATGCACAAAATCTTGTCTCTTCTTGCTCCAAAGAGATGTAAAAATCTGACCTAGTTGAACAGTCTTAATGAACTCATTGTCCATTGATAACAATAAATGTGTTCACAATGCAACAAAAAGCTTAACATAAAATTGAACATATTAAATGCTGCAGCAAGTATTTACACGTATGTACCCCCATTTTTTTTTCTCCTTCCAGTAAGGAAGGTGGTTGCTTTACAAATAGACAGACAAACATAAATGCTTTGCTGTTTACAATTACAAACAACCCCCCCAGTCCAGAACTTAAAGTGACAGCACCTTTTTTTTTTTTTTGGGACTTCCTTAATTAGCACTTTGCATAATGCTAGACTTTTTTTTTAAGTTCCATATTTTGGACAATATTTATGTTCCAATTATCCTAGAACATGGTGTTTGAACTGAGCCATTTTTTTCCAGGCCTTTTCAGAAGATCCCAAACCCTATGTCCTCTCCAGGGAGAACATTTCAAGCTTATCATTTCTCCAAGACAAACCTCAAAGGCAGAACTCCTCTCTCCATGAGGCAGGTGTGATTTAGCAGAACGTAGAAGAAAAGAGGGTGAGTAGGTCTTCTCTTCTACTGGCTGGCTGGTTAGGAGGGGTTCCTTCTCTGAAATGCCCTCCCCTACAGCACTGCTGATACCTTCCATGATCTCCTGTCCGTGACATTGGTATTCTAAGGAGACAACTAGAATCTAATGAGCTTATTGTGCATAAGATTTTAATGATATACTTAAAGCTAATTTATTCAGGTTCCACATTCTCAGTCCTGAGGCTAAAATGATTCTGTTTTTTTAAAAAAAAATCCTAGAAAGTTCTATAGCATGAAACTCAATGTAAGAAATCCTAAATGCCCTAAGAAGAGCTTTCTGCATCCTGGCTTCTAAGGAGCTAGATATTGTAAGTTGGCTGAAATGTAATAGCTGATCATTACTGATTCCCCTCTGATGATAAGCTTGGAAAGGTATCAGAGTGTGCCACGTAAGAATATTAATCTTTTAACAAATGCTGGCAATTTGGCCTTACCCCCCCCCCTTCAACTTGTGGTAAATAGTTTCTTTTTTTTTTTAAAAATAGACAATTTATAAGGAAAAAAATATATAAACACTCTTTAAGCAATTTGGCTATAAGCATTACATTACTGAAAAACTCCACAAGAAATAGTAAAATATTTTGAGTTGGACATACACTTTTTCGTTTTCACGACATGATGAGCCTAGGGTTTTCTGTTCTGTTTTTTTTTTTTTTTCTTTGTTTTGGTATTGAATTTTACTTGGACGTTTATTGCTTCAGTGTCTTCTTGTCCTTTCTTAGATTATCATTGTAAAACAGAGGTGCTGTCCCTAATGACGTCACAAGGCAACATTGTATTTTTGAGACCTAGGAATGACACAGACAGGGCCACTGTTATTTCAGCAGCCTCAGAGAGACAATGGCTGGGACAACAGTCCACGTGCACCACGATGCACAAAAGAGTAAGTCTCCTGGCTCATTCAGGACACTTTGGTTTGGAGAATGAGATAGAAAATTCTTAAGTGTAGCTTAGCTGCTGCCTCACATCTGTTGCATAAGATAACATTAAAAAAAAAAAAAAACAACAACATGCTATGAATAAAGGGGTAAAGAATATAAACTGGCTCTTCTTGGTATTTCCGTAGCAGGATTCATCTAGGCTGATGTGAGGAACCCGACTTTACGCAAATGTACCTGGTACAAATATTCTGTAAAGTATTTTAAACGGTGCAGCTCAGAGCCTTAGGGGGAGGGGGTGGGGGAGTTGGAAAGTGGGGAGCAGAGGCAGGTTTAAGGGCTCCGAGGGGGTCTGAGGGAGAACAAGAAAAACAGAAAGGGATCGAGAAAGCTAAAGTGCAATTTTAAAATATAAATTATCTTAAAAGCAGAAGAGAGACTCTAAATTGCTACTGCTCGCAGAGGCACAGTATTATTCAAATTTAAATGGGTTGTTTCCTTTTCCTTCTCAGATATACTGCATAATGGAACTTGAATGGCTTAAAGCTAGGGCCCATTGTTTGGCAAAGGGCAAAAAGAGCACGAAGGAAGCTGAATAGCGCAAGGCATTCTAGGAAATTGGGGTGGGGTGGAGAGAAGCAGAGATGAAGCTGTTTTTACACTTTTACAAGAAAGTTGTTCCAGTCGTGGTTACTGATTCCCTTTAGCTGAACTCCGCTTCCTAAAGGAAAGAGCTTACTTTAAACATTAAGAAAAAAAATAAAAAAAGAGAGAGAGAAAGAAATGTGAAAAACAACACTGTTCAGAACATAGATTAAAAAAATAACTCACAGAGCAATAACAAAATCCTTGAAATTTCTATGCACAGAGCTAAGCGAAACATTTCCACCAAATGATGGAGAAGAGCCATTTGAAACCCTGAAAAATGAAGATATACACAAGTAGAGAAGTTTATTATGAACTAACACTTTAAAAACAAGTAGATCCTACGGAAGAATACTGTTCAAATGGAATGTTTTAAAATAACATTTATTAATAAATATCTTATAAAATTCTAAATTAATAGATTCCTGTTCAAATTTTGCTTTGGTCCTTGAATTCCACTGTATACACGCATACATACATATATATTTTCTTAGATGGTTTTTATTAACCAGAAAGAAGCACATTCTATCCTAACTGGATGGCTAGTTTGAGAGCAGTTACCGATGCTTAAAACTCCCCAGCCAAAGGCTGGTCTTTCACTGCAGCTGGTTTCAGATTTTAACGGCAAACTCAACTAAGACGCTAAAGTTTACTTAACGGGCAACAAAAACCGCCTGCACATTCACCGTTGACGCCCCTCTGTTCAGAACATGTGCTGCATTTGGTTCCTTTGATGGGATAGGCTCCAAAGAGCATTTGCTCCAAGTCAGTCACCCTGATTGTAACAGTTCGTGCGGTGATACCACGCAAACTGCTGTCTCTCACAGGCCGCGTTAACCACTGGGACTCGCACACGCTGACACGGAGGGAGGAGAGAGATGGGTGGGGGTATCGAAGGGAAAACATCAGCTCCACACAGGCTTTCAAATGAGTATGTTCGCCCATGGCCAGGGTTTCCCTATACCCGCCCTGGCATCGTGTTCTGGGAAATGTCTTCAGAAGGAACCCTTAAGATGTGGATGCCTCAATTTAGGGTCACCTGGTAGAAATGCCACCGGGTGCCCCTATCTAAGCTGCCACGTCCCATCACGTAAGGCAGGGGAAGCGTCGCAGAAATGTCCAGGTAGGCTGGCAGTGACTTCAAAGGCAGACGCTGCCAATATTAAAAAAAACAACCAAAAACCAAAAAACGCAGGTGAATGAGGAGAGGCAGTGTTGCAGGACCCTTCCCTCCTCCGCATGGGTGCTCTGAAGGTCACTACAACGGATTTGTGAAGATATGGGTGCATGACCCATATCTAGATCGAGTGGGAGAGGAGAATAGGGCAGCAAAAAGATGTTTTCCCACATTGGCAAAAAATGTAGGGCAAGGAGGGATTTTCAGGCAGACTGATTATTCTACGGTCTGGTGAAGGCTGGACCTTCTGGTGAAGTACTTCTCCTGATAAGCCGAGTGTTGGATTTGACCAAGGAGCCTTTCTGTTCAGGGTTTCAAGAAGCCTTGACAACTAGCTGGCATCTTCCATTTACTGTATTTCCACACTGCTAATGAACATACCTAAAGGCCTCGAGCATAACAAGAAGACGGTTTATTCTAATTATACGTTGAGGCCCGTTTGCTAACGCGTGTGTGTGGTTGGTTTGCCTACTTAGCATAAAAAACAGACATAATTGAGCTCTATATAATGCACATCAGTCAAACTGTCAAGTTGCTGAATTAAGAAAACTCAGGCAAGTTCTTCACTACAGAGGCTTTCAGTTTAACAATTAAATATTCAATCAAGAGGCGGAGCAGAAGTAAAGTAAACCATAATTTTAGTGACAGCCCACTTTCTGGACATTCTGATATTACCAGTGGATTTTTAAAAAATCCATTTCGTTAAGTGCTATGCATGCAGTAAAGAAAAAAAAAGTTATCGTTCACTTAAAGCAAGAAATAAAACTAAAAAAATTTTTTTTAATCCAAGCAAACATTTCAATGAGCTCTTTTTTTTTCTTTTTCTTTTCTTTTTTTTTTTTTAGAGAGACACATAGACGGTCCTAGAAAGGAGTTTTGAAAAAATTAAATTTAATTTCAGAATAGAGATATATCTTAAATATTTCTTAGGAAGCCAGTTAGGTTCAACCATTCAGCGGTTAAGGCTGGGATTCAAAACAAAACAACTATGAATTCAGTATTTAAAATACTTAAAAAAAAGATATGTTTGTCTAAAATATAATAGAAAATCCTTTTAATTTGCATTTCTTTTTTCTCTTTCTTTTTAACATTTTTAAAAATTTTTTTTTGGTTTTTTTTTTTTTTTTTTTTTTTTTGGTGTGTGTGTGTGTGTTTATTTTTTGTTTTGCTTTTGCTTCTGTTTTGATTTTTAGACCATATATCTAGTCATGAGTTTCCCTGGACACTCAAAACTTTCTTTTGAAAGCACTGCATACATGAAAAAAAAAAGGTTGATAAATACTGATTTAAAAAGTAGGTTATTAGATAAAACTGAAACTAGTTATAAAAATCATGCTTCACGACTCTCATATTTTCTTTTTTCTCCAAAATAGATTCTTATGCTACAGGGAGAGATAAACACATATACACACACCCACATCCACACATGTATCTTTCCCTTTTTTGAACTCTTATAAAAGCGACACCTTTTGTAAAATACTATTATTTAAATCCCATGAACACACACACACACACACACACACACACACACACTCATGTTAGGACGTCAAGCATTCAAATGGAGATGAAACACCAGCACCTGTCTACACTGCTAGAGAGAAACATTAGCCCGTTACTTGTGAGATGTGATATTAGCACACATTAGCACAGTAGAATGGCTTGTTTCAAGGAGGCACAACCGTGGTTCGGGACTATCTGGTTTTTATAATGGGCAAGCTGATGAAAGTTGTTGAAAATATAAATCAGAATTATTCAGAAGAGTAGAGTAGCCATATCCACGGGATTCTTGCAGCAGCCAAAAAAGGCTTTGGCTGTTCTGGGGGCGGCGGGGGGAGAGGGGGGGAGCTGAAAGCACCCCTACGGGAACATCAGGTTTTCTTTCTCTCTCTGTTCCTCCAGTAGAGCGTGTACTTTCACCCACCAGAATAGCAAAGCCAGTTCCATAGGCTTAAGAGAAAAAAATAATTAATAAATCTTAGTCTATTAGCAGCTGATGATTGACCATTGTAATCTGTGTAGTGAATAGAGCCCTTCTGAATTATTATATAGTCTATGGATTTTTAGCCTTATAGACAGGCCATATAAAGCCGGTTGTAATTCGAGGGTGTGATGTTACAGCCCACATCACAATTTGGACCTTCACAATCAAGGCTTATAGGCTCCCTTCCCTGGTGTCTCCACAGCTGGCATTCAACAGTGTTTCACCTATGGCTAAGCCACCTTTTATTTGTTCTGATTATTAAAAACATTAAATCAGGCACATTAAACCTCTCTTGCTTACCATTTTATAAAAAGCAAGAGATGAATGAACTCCAGCTGTGGGTCACAGGCCAGGGAAGCAATGGCTAGATTCGTATTTTTTTTAGATTTACTTGTGTGTGTTTTTTTCCCTTTAGGCATTGTTTTCTTCTTTACCTGCAATGCTAAAGGTGGAAACATAAAACAGAAGAAAGTAAAAACGAAGAGTACACAGGCGGCCCAGGAAAAGGTGGAAAAGGAGAGGGAGAGTGGAGAAAATTGGAGGGCAATTCAAGGAGGTGGACCAAGAGGAGGAGGAGAGGTGGGGAGATGCCTGGTGGTTTTATTTGGACATCAGTGGATCTCATCCTTTTTTTTTTATAATAAGAGGAAGACAAATATGGAAAAGGCTCTGTGTTCATCTGGAATACTGGCGACATCACAGCACAAACTCAACATGTGTTACGACATCATCAGACTCACCACCCGGTTACCTTGCATCCGTCTACGTGACATGTGGGCGTGCCTCATTTTGGCTAAAAGCTGCGGTTTAACAAGATGCAATGTTTCAGGCAAAGGGTTGGACCGATAAGAATGAAACCACGTCTATCTACAGAAGGAGTTCAGTTTATAAACAAGTTCACTGGTACCAGAAAGTTGGAGAAAAGCACCAAAGCATTTCCCAAGCTGATAGAGTAATGAATTGCATAACTCCCTTTTTTCTTAGAGGACTAAGTATAAAAGACGACATTTCCATAAGAACTATAAAAATGAAAGCCAGTCTCTGAAGGGCTGAGGAGTCTTCCAGGTCTGAGTTAATTCTAAAAATGCCCTTAAAGGAAAGGACGCATGATATGCGACAGCTCTTCTTGGAGGCAAGGTCTGACCCAGTGGTGGATTTTAAAGGATGGGATTCAGGTCTGTTCTGTGAGTGGTGAGCTGACTGAGGGTGGAGCTTCCCACCACCTCGCTCACTGCAGAGGAAGTGGTGACGGTATTATGTTGGATGACCTGGTGCTGAGAGCAAGCTGGGACGGGGCTGGCGGGAGGACTGCTCTCCGGACCTAGGAAAAAGCACACACACGCACACACCAATATAGCTCCTCTTGGGCGGACCTGTGGCCTATTCGGGAAAACGTTACTAGACGTTTACCAGAAATCGAAGAGTTTCACACGCGTTCTCCTGGACGTTAATTTCAAAACTTTATTTTAAACTGTTGTCACCAGCTATGCCTTCCCACTTTATAGCTACAAGCAAAGCCATGCTTTCTACACCAGCAGAATGATTTCACGTGTTGGAGTCTTGGTGTGTGAACGTCCCCATTTTTGTATTTTCAAGTAGCCATCCGCATATCAAATGTGGAAACATACTCACATGTGGTGGGAGAATCTGTGTTGCTCAATCTAAAAAATTATTTGAAAATGAATTGACCTTCAGCCATGAATCCTTGCTCCTCCCACCATCCCCCGCTCAACTAGCATTTAACTTCTTGACATTCCAGATGCAGAAACTGGGGTCTAGAGAAAGGGGTCCACTTTACTTATTGGAACACCGAGATAAGGTCACTCACTTTTCAGCCCAGCAGCTTATATACCTTACGGCATTGGATGCGATTCACCCAATGCCTGTACCCCAGCCCCCGGATTTCTCTGGAAGGCGGCTTGCCCACTGGTAGGTGGGCTCCAGCAAGTGATTTTTCTACTGGCTGCAGAATTGGAATTCGGTACAATTTCACAATGTGAAACGGCAGGGAAAGTCTAGCCAGAAATTATCAGGAGGGGCATGGTGATGGGCAGGGGTCAGAAAAGGGGGATGTCCCTGGTGCAACAGTCTGGCAGCCACTGAAGAATTCTAGTATGATTTCTGCCGGGGTGTGCAATCTACACTTTACTTTTGCTCTTTCAATAAAATCCAATGCAAAATTAGTGGCAAAAAAACAAACAAACAAACAAACAACTGGACACTGAGAAAAGAAAAAAAAAAGTCAATGACTTACTTAGATATCCTTGTGATTCTTTCTGCATGGCTGTTATTGGACAGTCTTTATGTGTTAACAACAACTGTTTCAGCTGGGCCACCTCATTTTTCAACATGGACACTTCATTCTGGAAAGAGACATATCAAAGCCATGTTGGAAAGACCAGAGAATACAAGTCTCCATGCATTCTTTTTTAAAAAAAAATTTTTTTTTTTCAACGTTTATTTATTTTTGGGACAGAGAGAGACAGAGCATGAATGGGGAAGGGGCAGAGAGAGAGGGAGACACAGAATCGGAAACAGGCTCCAGGCTCTGAGCCATCAGTCCAGAGCCTGACGCGGGGCTCGAACTCATGGACCACGAGATCGTGACCTGGCTGAAGTCGGACACTTAACCGACTGCGCCACCCAGGCGCCCCATGTCTCCGTGCATTCTTAACAGTGTTATTGGCAAACTTTCCTGTTGTGTCCAAAAGACACTGAGGATGATATTCAATGAGATTCGCCTGAAAACGTGTACCTTGCCTTTAACTTGGCCATCACATTTACCAGGGACTTTCTGAAAAGACCAGACTTGTAACTCAAGAGCTGAATCCTATTAAAAGTCCAGAGCACCCCCTTTAGGTGGCCAACTCTGGAGCCAGGTTACATGGGTGAGAATCTCCATTCCACACTTACTGGGGGACCCTAGGCAGGAAACATAGGCCAGCTGAGATTCAGCAATCTTGTATATAACTGGGGGGGGGGGGGTAAAAAACCAATATAAAGTTTTTTGAGTTGTGAGGATTGAATGAGGTAATATATGTAAAACGCTCTGAATATTACCTAGCACAACACTAAGCAATCATTGAATTTAGCGAATCTAGCTGTTCATAATAATCATCTTCACACTGTCTGGTAAGCTCGGGCCAATATTCAGTATGAGAAGAGTGAATGTGACACATGCATTGGGAAGAACTGAGTGGCAGAATTAGTGGCTTCATATTGAAATGTCCTCAGAATAAGCCAACTCATCTACCATCAGATTTCCCAAAAGAATTTCCAAACAGGCTGTAGTTCAACAGAGCACATCCCTGCCGGATACCTGCTTAGTGGAAGGCATGGAAGCACATAGAACAAATTGTTGATCCTCTACTGGTGGGGTGAGGTTAGCCCAGGAAGGGAGGGGCAATGAAGTCTTGGCCATGATTAAATGAATGTGATTGGTTCATTAACTATTTTGGCTAATTTCAGCCTATGAACTCTGCCATCAATATCGGGGTGTTACGGATTGCGTGTGTGTTCGTGCGCGTGTTTCTTCTTTACTTAGATCAGTGCCTCAAATCTCCGCTTTATGGAGTAGTTCACAAAGACAGATTCATGGCTTTGGAGAATAATGTGCTTGGCACCACTGTCTACAAATGTAGATGCAGAATAGATGGTTGATTCTAAGGTGCTTCCACTTGATAAAAGTAAATTGTAAACGTAGCACTATCTCAAATAAGCCATTTTACAGTTGTGATAAATAATACCCTCTCTCTGGCTAATGTTCGTTTGTGGCTTCCAGGCATTGTACTCCACATGTGGAGACTAAAACAAAACAAAACAAAACAAAACAAAACAAAACAAAAAAACCATGCACACAGAAAAGGGTGTTCTAACATTGCTGTCATTACGTTGCATCTACACTTTCAATATGAACTTGGCTTTCCGGGCATGTATTTATCACCTAAAAAAGTAAGTTTGGGATTCTAGAAGTTAATGTAAAGAAATTTTTTTTGAAACATGTTTTAAAGAATACCTCCCATTTCCAAATTCATTTGCAAAATACATTATAAGTAACCAAATGTTGAGTAACATAAGGAACAAAATAGTAAGAATCTCATCTACAAAAGCTTTTCTCTTTCTTCTCCAAATTTTACAAAATAAAAATGCCTGAGAAATTAGCATTAATGATGAATAAATCACTTAAATGTGAGAAAATTGCATCTTCCACCTCTGAAGAAGTGTGGTTGGTAAAGGGGCTCGATCAAAGCCAAAAGTGACCCTTGTCAGTGGGATGGATAACTTTATTTAGAGGACAATTTATTTTAGCCTTAAGTACTAATTCTTTCCTCTCTTATTTTATGCCCATTTAAATTCAGACAGCCTTCCTTGCTTTTCCCAGATTCCCTTTGCTTAAAATAGCCTGTGTAAGAGAAAGTTACTTTTAGACCATTAAATAGAAGGCAACCCCTGGTTAAAAACCAACCAAACAAACAAAACAAAACGAAAAAAGGAGAAAAAGAAAACTAAGATGTGTGTGTGTGTGTGTGTGTGTGTGTGTGTATTTGGTCTCAAAATGAAATGTCAGCTTATTCACATTTGGATTATAGACATAGCACTTTTCTAGAATCACAACTGCTAAGACACTTGTGTACCCTAAGGAGAAACTCTCAGCTGCAGTTAATGCAGACAATTGCTCGTAGAAAATGGAGTCAAGCTCCAATTGGTAGTAAATCCTGCCACACTTTTCTCCTGTGATCTAGGAAACAACAAATAAGGAAAGTATTTAAAACAAAACAACGGGCCCCTGGGTGGCTCAGCTGCTTAAGCGTCTGACTTCGGCTCAGGTCATGATCTCGCGGTTTGTGAGTTCGAGCGCCGCTTCGGGTTCTGTGCTGGCCTCTCAGAGCCTGGAGCCTGCTTCGGATTCTGTGTCCCTCTCTCGCTCTGTGCCTACCCTGCTCGTGCTCTGTCCCTCAAAAATAAATAAATGTTAAAAAAAATATATAAAAAAATAAAACAAGATTCTCTTGCTTTCTTACACTTCTAGAAGAAAAAAAAAAAATCCCACCTGGTGGCCATCTTGGAGAGGTTGACCTTAGCCTCTGCTTCTTCCCCAGCTATGTCCTTCTCAGTCCCACCTTTTCTAGGCAGTGTTCGATCTCCCAGGCACAAAGTGTTCATTGCCCCTTCCTTAAAAAAGCACTTTGAATTCCGTTCTTTGGGTTTCTACAATCACAAGGAGCTAACTGGCTACAATACTTGGCACACCCCAAATCATTCCACAATAAGCCTTTTGCTTCCACGAGAGGCCACAATAAAACAGCACAGTATATGTGGTGTCTTAGCCTCTAACCAAAGCCCCATACAAAATAGATAACTTAAGTGGCCCTCTTTGTCTATGAATAGCAAAGCACTTCATTAGTAAACGAATACGTCGTAAGTATAGAAACTGAGACCCTGGGAGGTTGAGGGTCGGTAAAAATGTAGGAACCCGAAGACTGCCATGATAACTGATCATCCTCTAAAGATAATAGGTGAATAATGACATATTTCTTCAAGTGATGTGTTAGCAATTATGTTACTTAGATAGGTTATGGTTGGAAAAGGAACGCCAATTAATATTCTCCATAAAGAAGAAAAACCAGCCTCTTGTTTAGATCAGAAACACGTAATTACGGGGCTTATAAGGGCAAATTCAAAGTCTAATGGCCACAGAGGCACTAGAAATTCATGGGACAGCTTTCCAGCAGGAAAAAGAGTTCTCAACAGGGATTTCAGAATAATAGGGTTTGGCCTCCCAAACCGCTACACCAACCTACTGTAAAACAAGACGGTTGAATTAGTTCTCTAGTTCCCTCCAGCAAAACAGTTGGTTAGCCTTTGAATGTTTCTGCTTTGCCTTCTGTTGAGAAAGCTAATTACCTAATAGTCTAATGAAGGACTTGATCTTGATTTTTTTATTCATTAGTTACTTTGGTATTCGCATCAGTATTAGTATTTGGTATGCTCAAATACGCTTATATTTCAGGTCTCATATTCCCTGAGGGAGACAGTTCTTGAACCTCCTGGGCTTCCAAGTCTTAGGGCAGATTCCAAAGCGATATCTACAGTTGCATTTTAGTGCAAAACTTCGTGTCTGTGGATGTGTCCATACTGTTGAGAGAGTCTGCAGCGCCTTCATCAGATCCCAGAGGAAGCCTCTGGATTAAGAAAGGTTGACAATCACTGCCCTAGAGAAAGCAGCGTGAACCGTGTGCTGTCCACATGCATAATCATCGTAGAGTCTCCATACAGACTGATAGAGGAAATGCTAGACTATATTTTTAAACAAAAATCTTTTTCAATGGAACATTAAGTAGAATCACCTTGAATTCATTTTGGAAGAGAACCACCAGATAGCAAATGTTCCAGAACGCACGAAAGAAATAAAATGTTGCCTGCAGCTCTAGTAGGGAAATAAAAACCAGGCCTTCCGGAGGCAGTTTCTTACTCTGAATTACCTTGCTTTATGAATTGAGGCAAGTCACCAATTTTTTTTTTTTCCTCCCCTGTGCGGGTGATAAAAATCGTTCTAGGTCTTCACATAAAAGTACTCTGCTAAAGCAAAGTATGAATAATCAGTATCAACTCTCCTGCTGAAATCATCCCTTCATTTTTTCGAAGCGAGTTTGGGTTCGCTACGACTCTAAAGCAGTTGGCCGTTTAGAGAGGGACTGGAAGAGGCTAGGGGCAGCTGGATTATCTGTTCTTTAACCCATAAGGTTGTCTGGGGATGAAAGACAACCCCTATAGAGACATTCAAAACCATAACAGCCTTTAAACAGGTACCCCAAGAAGTCCCTAATAGCTACATTTGCAGTTTGGGGCTTTGGGGATACCACTTTGTTAATATGATAAACCCAGAATGCTTTTTGGTACAAGCCGAAGTCAGTGCCAAGAAAATAATTATCAAAATGGGCCCTACAGTAGAGCCCCTCCCCACTTTTTTTTTTTTTTTTTTTTTGGTAGATTAAGGCTGAGGCCAGGTTTGTTTCACTCTAAAACAAAGGACTTTCAATTTGTAAGGCAACAGTTCCCATCTGGCCTATTCTCTTGCCAAATCCCAAACCTGGGCTCATGTGTCTAAAATTTCAGCAGCGACTTAGACCATGTGTCTTTGCACTAAAAAAGAAAAGCAATTATTTCCGTGGGTGACCAGATGATTTCCATATCATCTACTGCACACAAACAATCCACTGAGCACCACGGCAGTAGTTGATGAATTAATTCAGAGCTGATCTAAGCCATGCTGTCGGAGAAAAGAACGTGGGTTCCTTTCGCTTCAGAATTTTCTACAGTGAAAGACCCCAGAGCAGTGGGTTAAGTCAAGGGAAGACTTGCTTGGGTCATCATCCTACCACTTGCTGATTCTGACTTTTGGGAAGACGCCTCCTGTTTCTCCCCACATAACATGTCAGATAGGGCAGTTTTGAATATTTCCCTCAAATCTTATACCTGTGTTGACCTCTTGGGTACAAATTTGTTGTGAGACAAGGAAATTGAAGTCTGGGAGTTTGATTTTGTTTTCTTAGGTCTGATTTTTCCAATCTGAAACTCTGCAGCCCAACCAGAAGGTTCTATGCTGGAAAACAACTGAAAAGTGGCAGCGGGCCAATCCGAGACCTTGGATATTCCGTTTGGCTGGAGTTTGTTTGCTTAGCACCTTCCATTTCTGTTTACTTAAAATTTGGCTCACTGGACCAGCCTCAAGAGAGACACCTTTTTCTTTTGACAAAGGTCCAGCAAGACAAGACGGAAAGGGTCATTCAAAGGTAGCAGAATCTGCATATCCTCTCCAGCATCACAAGGCAAGATGTGGAGTGCTCTGCATCACAGAAAACACAGCATGGCTGTGGTTTCTGTCCCTCGGAAGCTAAGCAGTGGTTGGAAAACACCAATAATTTAGTTTTTTCAGAGACTGTCCCTTCCTTGGGCGCTGCGTTAACAACCAGAAATATTGGTGCCTGTTGATTGGCCCAAACAGAACTTTTTTTTCCTGGTTTTCAGGGGCTAGAATTCTAGTATCTTTTTTTACTTTTGCCAGTATGGTTGTACATAGTGCAGATTCATGGAGTAGGGTCTCGTAAAGGGGAAATTTACCTTATGTCTTTTGTAAAAGCAGTAATATACAGGTGTATACCAAGTCATGAACATATCTGACCGCAAAGGAAAACCAGCATCTTCACTTTTCCAGGATCTCTGCTAGTCTCTCCCCCCTTCTCTCTCTCTCTCTCTCTCTCTCTCTCTCTGTTTTCAAGCTCCAGGACCACAGTCAGTATGCCCAAGTAATTCTGCAAGGGCTCATTTTTGTTAAAACTGATTTAAACATTTGTTGGCAGTGTTATGTGCCAGCTGGCTGTTCATGGCTCCTTCATCTAAGGCAGTGGTTCTCAATCCCTGGGTGATTTTGCCCCCACAGGGGATATCTGACAACGTATGGAGACTTTTTGGTTGTCACAACTTGGGGGTGAGGTAGAGGATGCTACTCATATTGAGTGGGTAGAGGTCAAGGGTACTGCTAAATACCTGCGAGGAACAGAATACAACAAAGAACTATCAAGTCGCAAATCGAATAGTGCCAAGACTGAGGAATCATGCCCGTTTTCATGGTCCTCTTGCAAACCTCAGAACTGGTAGCAAATTCCAGGGATTCCCACACCTCCGTCATTGCAGAACCACTGGCTGGAACATTTGCCAGGCCCGCATGCACCAGAATTTTTATTTACTCAACATGTTTGTACAAATTAACTCCTTATTTAATAATTTAGCCTCGTCCTTACTAAGAGTATCTGTGAAATTGAAGGTTTGATGTCCTAATTACATTTTTTCAATACACCTAAAAACAAACCCATGATTACTATGAATGTTAAAAGTGCTTGTCCATCTTCTACCTAGAAGCTTCTCACATACGACTGTGGCTGTTGGATTCTAGAACTACAGACTTTCAAGCTGGTGTAACTTGTGAGGTGTTGAGTCCAGCCATCCCACTGTGGCTTGACTCCCTTCAATCACATCCTTGCCAAGTGGTCAGGCTGCCAGTTCTTGGACACTCCAGAGGTGGGAAACTCGCTCATTGATTCAACAAGCAGATATTGAGAGCAGACACTCAGGAGCTCACCATGTTAGCTTGCCACTATACTAGAAATAGGGGGTAGAGAGCAGGGGGAGAGAGCAATAAGGTAAGACACAAGCCCCCCACCTCATGCACATGCAGCTCTAAGCCACTGGGAAGAATTATTACTTTATTTCCCCCACATCTGATGTGTATGTTTCCTATTTTCTTTCTCATGTCTATCACAAAAAAGGATGAGAAATTTAGGGGAAACGGTGAACATACGTATGCAGTCCACATATAACCCAAACTTTCTTTATACATTTTCAATGTATACATCGGATGCTCCGAGGTCACTTCCGTTTAATGGCTTGAACACGCAAAAGCTTTGGGGATTTGGCAGCCTTATTGTTGGTTTCTAAGGATGCAGAGAGAACCAGGTGGGGGAAGGTGAAAGTTACCTATGAACTATTAAGATACAGAGTCTCCCCATCTGAGGCAATCTTTTCCCCCTTCCCTCCACTCTTCTGCCATTTTTTATGCTCCTAGAAGCACTGGGCTATAATCCACAACTCTCACTGCTACCCCGGCACTGCTTGTCACATAATCTAGTAGGCCGCTCTCTTTCTGCTGGTGGAGAGGGCATTCCTTTTTGTGCGGAAACAGATACCCTGAATGCATCATCTGTACAGCATGAAGTCTGCTGGAGAAGCCCTGGGCACCAGAGTTCCCTCCCCTTCTCTCCCAGAAATGGCCTTGTTAGAAACCGTGCCCAGTTGAGCCACTGATGAAAAGCAAAACTCCTGTAAGATTCAAAACATGTCAAGTTTGAAAATGAGATGGGAACATGGCTTTTCCCATAGAGCAAAATAATAACCATAAATATCCCTTTCCTCCATTAAACAAAAAAACATAGATAATCTAGTGTAAGTCAAAGCAACCCCCTCACTGGTATATGTAGAGAACTGCCTTATAGTTGAAGATTTATTATGTGCTAGGCACTGGGAAAACTGCTTGGTAGACATTAGTTCACTTATTACTCCCAATGACTCCATGAGGTTATTCTTCCCATTTTATGGAGGAGGACACTGAGGGCCAGAGAGGTTAAGCACAGCTACTTGCTGAACAAGAGTGCGAACCTCCGTCTGACCAAAGCCTGTGCTCTTAGCCCTGTAACTCAGTTGGGCAGCTTCTCTCTCCTCAGAGCTTGATTTAAAACCGAATGGTTATTGGGGCGCCCACGTGGCTCAGTCGGTTAAATGTCTGACTCTTGATTTTAGCTCAGGTCATGATCTCACTGTTTGTGAGTTCAAGCCCTGCATCAGGTTCTGCGCTGACAGTGCAGAGCCTGCTTAGGATTCTCATTCTCTCTCTCTCTCTCTCTCTCTCTCTCTCTCTCTCTCTCCCTCTCTCTCTGCCCCTCTCCTGCTTGTGCTCTATGTCTCTAAAAAAGAAATAAATAAACTTAAAAAAAAAATTTTAGGGGCGCCTGGGTGGCTCAGTCGGTTAAGCGTCCGACTTCAGCTCAGGTCACGATCTCCCGGTTCGTGAGTTCGAGCCCTGCGTCGGGCTCTGGGCTGATGGCTCGGAGCTTGGAGCCTGCTTCAGATTCTGTGTCTCCCTCTCTCTCTGCTCCTCCCCCGTTCATGCTCTGTCTCTCTCTGTCCCAAAAATAAATAAACGTTAAAAAAAAATTTAAAAAAAATTTTTAAAAACCATCATTAAAGAAAACCCAACTAAACGGTTACTTTGTTTTGTCCAGTGTCCCAGAATTAATAAAGCTTGAGGAGGAAGGCTGCAGTCGCTCTGTGAGCTAATGTGCGGTATTACTGCTTAGGTCAACAAGCGCCTGCTGGGGCAGGAAATGCCAACTGTACACAGGGCCTTTGAGTCCTGAGGAAAGAGACAGTGGCCTGCACCTGAAGCTGCATGTTTGTCTGGGTGAGTTCTTCTGCTTTCTTTTCCAGTGACATCACCCAGACCTTCCTCTTCTGTCTGCAGCGGGTGGCAGCGGCCCGGTTCCGTTCCAGAAATTTCCTCCGCCTCTCGTCGGGATCCTCATCCACCACCCTTCGCCGGCGCCCCCCTGTGGGCTGGGGCGGCTGTATTGTCTGGGTCGGCTGCATCTGTTGTGTCGCTGGTGAAACCTGTTGGGCACGAGAGGGAGGGGCGATGGGGAAAGAGAAGGAACACGCTGGGTGAGAGAAGAAACCCAAGCTGGTGTTGAAATGCAAAGCAGAGAGTCGACTGCTTTAGCGAGCATATTGAACTTGTTTTCTAAGAACGAAGTAAACAGTGAAATCACGCTCGTGAAAAGAAAAAGCACCGCGGAACTATCTGCTGTGATATTTTGGCAAGACGTAGAAACGACTTGGGAGAGAGAGTTAAATAGATTTTTCCCTGACAGGCATTTGGCTGAATCATGTCAGGGGAAACACTTTTTTTTTCCTCTCCTTCAGATGTTAAACATGGCTTATTTAAGGTGTGTTTTAAAAGAGTAAAATGCCAACACAGGGCTACAGGTGACAACAGAGAGGTCATGGTTATTGTCACCATATTGATGAGTCTTCTATCATCTGCAGAAAACTCCTTCCGGGCAAGTTGTGAGCTCCGTTCTTTCTCCTGGTGTTAAAACCGTGTTCCTAGAACTCACTGCTGGGACGTCACCACCACTGCGACTCCCTATCAAAAGAACCCTGTGAGTCCCAGAAAGCAGATGAAATCCTATTTTCACTATTTCAGAGCTCTCAATGCCAAGGCCTCGCTGGACTGGCAAACTCCAGATGGGTCCACCTGTTCCTTGGAGCTCTGCCTCAGACAGGCTTTTCCAGGTAACTGGAAGCAGGGCTTATGCAGTGGATGCCCAGAGCAGTGCTGAGCCCCAGCCGTCTGTGCAAGAGGGACAGAAGGCTAAGAATCACCATATATTCACATTGTAAGAAAACCCCGGAAGTAGCAAAGCACTTCATTAAAAACTTTGACTATACTTATAGATTCCTCCTAAGATCTGCATGGGGCTCAGCAGTATCTAAAGTTTTGGAGACCTACTGCCCATACAGCTTCATTTTCCTTCATGAGGCAGACACACAGCACTGAGTGAAATTTCCACCACGGAGTCTTTATGTGTCTGGACACCTAATGCTTTCCCTAATGCAATCCACTCCTTCCCCCCTTTCTTCGTTCTCCATAAAGGGTGTTCCTCCCCGCCCCGCTCCCCACCGCCCTTCTCATTCTCAGTCACTCAGGCTCACGGCTGTAATATCTATAAAGTTGTTTTACAAGAGACATTTAACCTACGGAAATAACATGCAAAAAAAGTTTTCAAAAGGAAGCGCAGCAATGTTTTCTACCATATTCCAGTTCTGCGATTGGAACCAATCTGAATGACTGTAATTGCGCTAATAATGGCTACCGGTTGACATCGGCTGACTGAAAGTGATATATTTTCGCCTTAAACCTCTATCAAATCTTATATGACGCACTGTAAAAGAATCGGGCTCACGGCTGAAGTTGGACTGCATCTCAGTAATTTTATCTAACCCATAGACATTTTCTAAAAGTGCTTATCGGCGATCCCTTTCCTCCCAATCACAGAGAAATAACAACAAAAATTAACTGTCTAGGGTCTTACTCACCAGAGTGGTCGGTGAAGATGTAATCCTCGTTATTGGCAAAGGTTTAGCCTTGTCATTTCAGATGCTGACTGCTAAGCTAAGCTAACCACCTCAAAGCAAAGCATTAGGAAGGAACTCACTAAACTTGGCTATTTTGACCTGCACCATTTCTTTTTTTTAATGAATTCCCGATGTCTAATTGTCAGCCCTGGACAAGATTCTCAAGTAGGCCAAACTGGGTTTGAATCTCCACTGCAGAGACCTCTCATCTGGTCTTGTATTCTCCTACCCCAACTTCAACCAACCTTTATCTCTGACACTCTTCCTGTGCCTTTACCCAAAAGGGTGAGCCATGTGGTGGTTTTAGGCTCAGTCCAAGTTCAAGGTTTAAAGTGTAGTTTGGACAAGAGCAATTCCTGGTGACTGAGGCGTGACACCAGGACTCTGAAATCACATCTTTATATGCAAGAGAATCCTAAGGAGCCAAGAGAAATTGCAAATGCAACCCTGAGCCCAGAATTTACGTCCCATCTGATTATTGTTGCTTATTTTTCTTTTTAAATAGAATTCTGTTGGCGTAGATGCTCTGAAACTTTTGATAAAAAATGATGTATTGTTATTTCATAAAGACAAATTTATCCCAAGTCATATTAGAATCTCAGAGTCAGAAGGACCTTACTATACTTCTGTTCCTAATGCTCTAATAATCATACAATTGAGCAATATGACAAGATCTCAGTAAATCAGCCAAGTTAACACAATTTAAGAGTGGCATTTTGAGTAATGTCTAAATGATCTTGTTGAAATTTTAACACCACCAACCTGTACCCTTTCTCTTTAGTATGGGATTAAAAAGCAACTGTTTGTGCAGCTAATTATAATAGCAATTAACTAATTGCATATACAATTGGCCACTTACTGACTTGAAAGGGAGGGCGATTGGCTAATTGGTAATTAGCTAATGAATGGCTTTTATATTCAACTTGTTAAATATTGTCTGTCAAATATTAACTGTTAAACTTGTCTGTGAAGGAACTCGCTGACAAAGGCAACCAAAATTTAATGCTATAAAACAGAAGTACACATTTATGTGAATTTATTTGCCTATCTTTGAACCTGTAGTCTTCCTTCTCCCTTCTAATGTCTCCATGCCGTACTATCACATTTGACTAAAAAGGTGGTTTGGACAGCATTTTATTGCTAAACCACTTGTAAACGTCTATCATATTACCTCCGTTTGGAGTTAATCATGGCTAGTATGTATTGAAAACTGTGCCGAGGGCTTCACAGACATTCTCTTAATACTCCTAGGGGTCTATGAGTTTCGTCTATTATTACCCCATTTTGCAGATGGGACAACGGAGGCTTAGGGAGTTTGGCTGACTGACCAGAGTCACCCAGCATATAAGATGGGGAATGAATGACCGATTTCTCACTCCAAAGCCAGCACTCTTACTTGCTATATAGAATTCCTCTAACTACGTTTGCAAATGTAAGCTTACCTAATGAATAAGCTCATCTATTGAATAGATCAGAGAGTGGCTTGTGAATGACCCATTTTGCAGATGGCTGTCCAAGTTTGGTGTGTGTAAGAGGAGGGGGTTCAAGAGCTCAAAAACTGCCTAGTGTGAGGTCCAGAGGCAGACGATGGAAGAGACGGTGAATAAGTGTTATATTTGGCGAACCCAAGTTCCCAACACCACTCTGACCCAGCTGGTTAGAACCCGGCAGTGTGGAATGGGTGGAGGGGACTGACAAAGGTCATCCTGCTTGAAGATCCAAAGTGTCTAAGGCTAGCCATTCTCCTAGACATGCCCTTTGTCCACTTACCAAAACTTACCCGGGTACACGGACCCGCCTCTCTTCTTGGGCTGGGTGACATAATGTCTGCCTGGTCCCCCAACCCTCTTTCAGTTGAGTCTAAAAGCTGGCTTTCTTTCGAGCCACTTCTGGTGACTCTCCACCCCTGGGATTTGGCCTTTCTCTAGAACCAATCATCTACTGAGCTTGGCTCTCTGACTACTCCCTCCAACGCATTTCACATTAGGTGGGATGAGTCACCTCTCTTCATCATTTACACAGCACCTTATGCTCTAACATCCATTACCGAGCTTCTTTGTCTGGAATTGTTACTCTTTAGATTTTTAACACTTGGTGCTATTCGGAAGACTGTCCGTGGTATTTAACTTCCATTTGACACGTGACAAAATTGAGTGCCTATGTTCTAAAGCACTGCAGCCAAAACCATGGCCGGAATTAACTTATTTTTCTCATTCTCTATTCAAATCTTTCTTTACATGCTGAAATTCTTCCTAATCGTCCCATCAGTATCGCCTTTTTTAGAGTTAACTTCGTGACATGAGGTTCACATTTGCCCCCGGGGACCAGGCCTGATATTTACCATATTATTTCTAGAAACTATGGTCTGGGAAGGTCTTGCAGGTTATCATTACCTCCCAGGAAACGAACAGAGCTCCCCAGAGTGTCACAAAGAGCACCCAAGCTCGTCACACAAGGTTGCTGCCAGTGGGCCCCCGCGTTAGAGCTTGCACTGATAACAACAAGGGGGAAAGAGATCATGAAAAGGGTCTACCTGTGCTTGGTTGCCGGAGTGCAGGGGTGGGTGTGGCGAGGTCTGGTGATGTGCAGGGTGTGCGTGAAGGTGGGAGTGATGATGTGGGTGGTTCTGCTGGTGATGGGGTTGAGGGTGAGGATGGTGGGCTGGGTGCTGGTGCTGGTGCGGGTAGGGGTGATGGGCTGGCAGCGTCTGGTGCTGATGTGGGTGCGAGTGCATGTGATGGTGTGGCGTCTGGTCCTGCCGGGAGCCCATCATTTCCATCATGTGTCCCATGGTGTTCATATTCCCATTTGACATGGCAGCGGGGTGGTGAGTCAACGCGGCCTTCAACCTCTGAAACAGAACAAAACAAGAGGGGACAACTGAGGTCAGTCATGGACAGAATAGGAATTTTGAAACGATGACTCATATTTTCAATTCTATGATGCATCATGGTACTACTGTTAACAATTTTTTATTGGTTGGCAGGATGGCTTATGGGAATTTCAAATTTTCACGTATATTGTATATGTCAGCTGTACACGTTAATTCAACTGTCACAGCAAATGAGGAGGACACCCTGTCAAGAGTTAGACAGTCTACCCAGAGGCATTTCCTACTGATTTCCCGCTATCGATTATTCATCGTATCCTATCGGCAGCTGAATGGAAGAGTAAACCAAATAAAACCAATCAATACAACAATGCCACCGAACCAAGGGCTCATCTGACAGGGCACTGTGTTTTGTAAGGGTCACAAGAATAAGAGATTTCTTCCTCTCAAAATATTTCTCAAATACAAAGAGGAAACGATTTCAAATTTCAGAATATGGGAATGGCATGGAGCCCTTTTAGGGCTCCAAATGAAATTCATGATCTATAACTTTTGAAGGCAGTATGCAGGTTTTCTCCATTTGTTACCATGGTATTTCTCATAGTCCCTCCCGATCACCTAATTTTTCTCACACAATAACTTTCTTCCGGTCTTTGGGAAAGACGGGAGGAAAGTCGAAACATTTGGAGTATTGCATTCTATAGCTTCTTTGGTGGCCACATCAACAGTCGTATTTCTAACCCCAAAGCATTGTCCATTCACAAGCAAACAGTCATGTACACAAATATCGTCTACCTGAATCTAAAAGCAGGGATCAGCAAAATGCTTCTATAAAGAATCGGACAGTAAATATTTTCACCACCACATGCCTTACAGTCTCGGTTGCAGCTACTCAATTTTGCCCCCAAAGCAGCAACAGATGGTGTATAGAGGAGTGAGCATGCTGTGTTCTAATACAACTTATTTAGGGCGAGGAAGTTGAATTCCATGTAATTTTCACATGCTCTTCAACTTTTGACTTTTCATCATTTCAAAATGTAAAAACCATTTTTTAGCTCATGTGCTGTGCAAAATGAGGCACTGGGCCAGATTTGGCCCACGGGCCATGGTTTGCTGGCCCTGATTTAAAGAATCGGTTAGTTGGTAATCAGCTTAGTCACAGTTTCTTCAAAATTGCCTTTTCTTGTACACAGGCAATTATCATCATATCCTGAGGGGCACAATGTGCTAAGCACTGTATAATATAGTTATTCCTTGTAAATGTATCTTCTGCAGGGATGATAGTCTGGTTGACAAGCTCACACTGGCTTCACGAAGTATTTGCTACAGGACTCAAGTTCTCCCCTGATTTGTGATTTTATCTGATTAATGATGGTGGTGCGCAGTCACTGTGAAAAGGAAGAGTTAGATTTGAATGAGGGTCAAAGCAACCATGTTCCAGCCCTGTTTAATATTAGCATTTCTCAACTGGTCAGAGTCCGTTGTTGATAAATGCCAACTGAATTCATCAAAATCTTTAGGTAAACAAACGCAAAGAGCCCCCCACTTGTAAAAGAAAAATAAAAGGGAGGGGAGTATGTGACGGACTAGATCTTATTATCAGATAATCACTGAAAACATTTCCTGCATCCAGTCTCAGTAACCACTAAGCCTACCTGCTTCCTCTTTCCTGAGTACCAGCTACTGACCTCCATCATATTAATCCCGCAGAAGTTAAACTTCCTGGATCCCTGGGAAAGATTAGACGCAGGGTATTGTGTTTATTATTACTAAACAGAAAAGCGAACTAATACTCCTCATCTCTAATTTTTAGAAATGATTTCATTATTTTTATAACAATGCTCATTATAAAACATTTAAGCAATGCCTGCAAGTACAATGAAGTCCGCAACCAATGACCCAAATGCGTTCTTTGCATTTGGTGGGTGAATGGCATTCCAGACAACTCTCTATATGCATATGGGGAGACAGAGGAATAAGTAGAATAATGTCATCACAGTGTAACATTAGCATACGAAGTAAAAACTAAAATGAATTCCTGGACTTCAGATACATGTTTCTTTATCCCAAGAAATGTTTCTAAATGACATCTCCGAACTTAAGGGTGAAGAAGATTATGAAGAAGATGATATTGAAATCACAGTGTTTTGTTTTCTTTTGTACATTTAGAAATTGACATGTTGGGCAGTCTTGATAGACCTTCTCAACTATTCTTTGCAGTTTCATTATTACAACTATGTAGTAAAAAAAAATCAACTACTATAAGAATATGAGGTGAAAAACTAAAAGACACCTGCCTACCCTTTCTCCTCTAAGCTCCAGTCCCAACTAACTTGCCTTTGTTCTCTTTAACAGTGTATCTTCGACACCTTTCTCTATCATGACAAATGGCTAATAACCATGGCAGGCATTAATTGAGCACTCATTTCATGGCACTCCCCATTCTATGTTTTACAAGCATTAACTCACCTCATCCTCAGAACAGTCCTGCAAGGCTAAAAGAGAGGCCAAGCCACCTGCCCAAGCTCAAGCCACCGCCGCAGAGGTGTAGAGGTGTGCTTACCCCAGAGCCTGTTTTCTAAACCGAGAAAGAAGGTGCCGGAAGGCATACCATGCACACTTGCCAAAGACCTCGTTATAAACTGTGTTATGCCACCTCCTTATCAACAAAAGAAAGGCAGAAAGAGGAGACAGGCCAACAATCAAACGACAAGGCAAGGTGTCATTGCTGCATGGTCTCAGCACACAACTGCAGATCTGGGATATACTCTTCCTGAAGCTTGGCAGATGGAAGGGCGAATGGTAAGAATTTCTAGGAAGCTCCAGTGCAGCAAAGGATCATGGAATTAGCACGATCATCTCCCTTGCTACCTTTGTGAAAAAGGGGTACTCGTCTCCTCCCTGCCCTGTGCCCCAGACACACAGATCTGAAAAAGTACATGTGTCCTCCTTTTCTGCCCCACTTCCTAGCGCTAAAGGTTATGACCCTTTTGTCTTTCTAATGTTCAGAGGATGATACGGGGTATGCACAGACACCGAGGAGTGTGGCCATGCCTTCCCGTCAGCCCTTGCGCTTCCGACACAGGCCACAAAGGCCTTTGCATTTGATAGTCTTTTTGCCTGAAATGCTCTTTCCCGTTCTCAGCTCCTGGCTTCTCCTCGCAAAATTTTCGCAAAAGGAGGGTGCATTAACCCTCTCTGGATACATTTTCCCTGAAAAAGTAGGATGGAAAACTGAACAGCTGTTTAGCAGTGGTTCACTATGTTATCCCTTCAGTGCTACACACAGCTTTTCCACCTTTCATCAGGAGCAAATGGAGCCTGACAAATAAATACTATCCGCCAGATCTTCATCTCTCAAATAATTAGCTTGTCCTGTTAAGGGAAATTACTCGATGGCCTCAAGTCTATTCTTGCATGTTTCACGCCAAGACAACACCACTAGTGAGGCTTACAATATTCCATTTAACTAGTCTTTCCTCAACAAATATTTATGGAGCTTCTACTGTGTGCCAGGCACCGTCTTAGGCACATCATTGTTTGCCCCCTACCTGAAGGAAACGGGAGACGCAAACAACAAAACTTTTTCAAAGCTCTGGAGAGAAAAACACACACAATTCAGCAAGGAAATGAAGACGTGAGAGCACTCCTTAGAGACCCACAGGCCTTGGGGTTGAGACCACCCTCCAAGCACCATCCTGTGTCATTTTTGAAGGAGAGCAGTGCCGAGAAATAATTATTGGGGCACTTCTCGAAGTTTTAGAGCCTACTGCTTCCCTGCGTCCTGGTACCAACACGAATCACTACACTGTAAACCATTAAAATATACCAAATATAGATATTTGTACCCCACTCTTTTCGGGATGATAAATCACCATTAAATGAGTCCAAGCTGTATTTCCCAGAATGATTTTTCTTTTTGAAGCCGAACTGTGTCTTGCTTTAAATAACATTCCACCCGATGCCAAGAAAAGGCAAGGGAGAGAGAGGAAAATTGAGGAGCAAATAAACATATATTTTCCCCCTGTAAAAACCAGGGCTCTTACTGAGGTGTGACTGCAAGAAAGAAAGAAAAAAAAAGATTCTGTTTACTCTGTATTATCATCCTCCACCACATCCATTTATTTGAGAGAGCAAATCGGGAGAGACAAGGAGAAGCCGGACACAGCTGGCTTCAGTCAATAAGGGTCATTTTCCTTCGGTCTGTGTATTTTACAAGATCCTTGCTCACTGTTCCCGCTGGGAGAGTGGTGGGCCTGCTGCCCGGGATCTGAGTCCTGGTAAGTAACGAGCCATCTACCTGGTCCCGTCCTGCGCTCGGCCACCAGGGCTCAGCCACGCCCCCTTTTCCAGGGCCAGCTCCGGGCGGTTGCACAGCGCGGCACCTTGTGAAGCCCAGGTAGGCGCGCACGTCATTACCGCCACATGGGTGCCTGCCTGTGGGCCTGCGTGAGCACACACGCACGTGACACACCCACCCACACCCACCGCAGGCAATTTATCTCCCATTAACAACTCGCTCTTGCCAATTAGAAACATTTGTGGAACCGTAAAAACATTTCTTCTCCATCTAAGGCGCAGCTGATTGCTTATGTTTTACAGACTCTGAAAGCCAAGCCGAATTAAACATTATTTGAAATTCAGCTGGGTGGGGGTGGGGGGAAGGTTGGAGCGTTCTTTGGAGAAAGGTTTTCATTAAAAACGGCTGTTGGGTTTTGTTCCAGAAAAGAATGTGATAACATCAAAATGTAGTGTTGCTGAGTTGACCACAAGTAAGAGGCTGTCTACATAAAAACAGGGCAAAATCCCTGTTCGTATTTCCTTTCCAATACAGGATAATTGCCATCAGTGGCCTCCCCCAAGGTATGGCTTGAAATGTACGTAATTTCTTCTTTTTTTCTCTTCCCCAAACATCACTGATCAGATGAGATGGGTCAACACAGGCTTCTGAAAGGTCCAAATGGTCACTGATGTGAGACTGGAAACCTTAGCCGGAGGTGTACTTGAAATATCAATGACTA